GTCCTACAGGAGAGAGATCAGTGTGTGAGGAACCCTGTGTCCTGAGAGAGATCAGTGTGTGAGGAACCCTGTGTCCTACAGGAGAGAGATCAGTGTGTGAGGAACCCTGTGTCCTGAGAGAGATCAGTGTGTGAGGAACCCTGTGTCCTGAGAGAGATCAGTGTGTGAGGAACCCTGTGTCCTACAGGAGAGAGATCAGTGTGTGAGGAACCCTGTGTCCTGAGAGAGGTCAGTGTGTGAGGAACCCTGTGTCCTGAGAGAGATCAGTGTGTGAGGAACCCTGTGTCCTGAGAGAGATCAATGTGTGAGGAACCCTGTGTCCTGAGAGAGATCAGTGTATGAGGAACCCTGTGTCCTGAGAGAGATCAGTGTGTGAGGAACCCTGTACCTGAGAGAGATCAGTGTGTGAGGAACCCTGTGTCCTGAGAGAGATCAGTGTGTGAGGAACCCTGTGTCCTACAGGAGAGATATCAGTGTGTGAGGAACCCTATGTCCTACAGGAGAGAGATCAGTGTGTGAGGAACCCTGTGTCCTGAGAGAGATCAATGTGTGAGGAACCCTGTGTCCTGAGAGAGATCAGTGTGTGAGGAACCCTGTGTCCTACAGGAGAGAGATCAGTGTGTGAGGAACCCTGTGTCCTACAGGAGAGATCAGTGTGTGAGGAACCCTGTGTCCTGAGAGAGATCAATGTGTGAGGAACCCTGTGTCCTGAGAGAGATCAGTGTGTGAGGAACCCTGTGTCCTGCAGGAGAGAGATCAGTGTGTGAGGAACCCTGTGTCCTGAGAGAGATCAGTGTGTGAGGAACCCTGTGTCCTGAGAGAGATCAGTGTGTGAGGAACCCTGTGTCCTGAGAGAGATCAATGTGTGAGGAACCCTGTGTCCTACAGGAGAGAGATCAGTGTGTGAGGAACCCTTTGTCCTGAGAGAGATCAGTGTGTGAGGAACCCTGTGTCCTGAGAGAGAGATCAGTGTGTGAGGAACCCTGTGTCCTGAGAGAGATCAATGTGTGAGGAACCCTGTGTCCTACAGGAGAGAGATCAGTGTGTGAGGAACCCTTTGTCCTGAGAGAGATCAGTGTGTGAGGAACCCTGTGTCCTGAGAGAGAGATCAGTGTGTGAGGAACCCTGTGTCCTGAGAGAGAGATCAGTGTGTGAGGAACCCTGTGTCCTGAGAGAGAGATCAGTGTGTGAGGAACCCTGTGTCCTGAGAGAGAGATCAGTGTGTGAGGAACCCTGTGTCCTGAGAGAGAGATCAGTGTGTGAGGAACCCTGTGTCCTGAGAGAGAGATCAGTGTGTGAGGAACCCTGTGTCCTGAGAGAGAGATCAGTGTGTGAGGAACCCTGTGTCCTGAGAGAGAGATCAGTGTGTGAGGAACCCTGTGTCCTACAGGAGAGAGATCAGTGTGTGAGGAACCCTGTGTCCTGAGAGAGATTAGTGTGTGAGGAACCCTGTGTCCTGCAGGAGAGAGATCAGTGTGTGAGGAACCCTGTGTCCTGAGAGAGATCAGTGTGTGAGGAACCCTGTGTCCTGAGAGAGATCAGTGTGTGAGGAACCCTGTGTCCTGAGAGAGATCAGTGTGTGAGGAACCCTGTGTCCTGAGAGAGATCAGTGTGTGAGGAACCCTGTGTCCTGAGAGAGATCAGTGTGTGAGGAACCCTGTGTCCTGAGAGAGATTAGTGTGTGAGGAACCCTGTGTCCTACAGGAGAGAGATCAGTGTGTGAGGAACCCTGTGTCCTGAGAGAGATCAGTGTGTGAGGAATCCTGTGTCCTGAGAGAGAGATCAGTGTGTGAGGAACCCTGTGTCCTACAGGAGAGAGATCAGTGTGTGAGAAACCCTGTGTCCTGAGAGAGAGATCAGTGTGTGAGGAACCCTGTGTCCTACAGGAGAGAGATCAGTGTGTGAGGAACCCTGTGTCCTGAGAGAGAGATCAGTGTGTGAGGAACCCTGTGTCCTACAGGAGAGAGATCAGTGTGTGAGGAACCCTGTGTCCTGAGAGAGAGATCAGTGTGTGAGGAACCCTGTGTCCTACAGGAGAGAGATCAGTGTGTGAGGAACCCTGTGTCCTGAGAGAGAGATCAGTGTGTGAGGAACCCTGTGTCCTACAGGAGAGAGATCAGTGTGTGAGGAACCCTGTGTCCTGAGAGAGATTAGTGTGTGAGGAACCCTGTGTCCTACAGGAGAGAGATCAGTGTGTGAGGAACCCTGTGTCCTGAGAGAGATCAGTGTGTGAGGAATCCTGTGTCCTGAGAGAGAGATCAGTGTGTGAGGAACCCTGTGTCCTACAGGAGAGAGATCAGTGTGTGAGGAACCCTGTGTCCTGAGAGAGAGATCAGTGTGTGAGGAACCCTGTGTCCTACAGGAGAGAGATCAGTGTGTGAGGAACCCTGTGTCCTGAGAGAGAGATCAGTGTGTGAGGAACCCTGTGTCCTACAGGAGAGAGATCAGTGTGTGAGGAACCCTGTGTCCTGAGAGAGAGATCAGTGTGTGAGGAACCCTGTGTCCTACAGGAGAGAGATCAGTGTGTGAGGAACCCTGTGTCCTGAGAGAGAGATCAGTGTGTGAGGAACCCTGTGTCCTACAGGAGAGAGATCAGTGTGTGAGGAACCCTGTGTCCTGAGAGAGATTAGTGTGTGAGGAACCCTGTGTCCTACAGGAGAGAGATCAGTGTGTGAGGAACCCTGTGTCCTGAGAGAGATCAGTGTGTGAGGAATCCTGTGTCCTGAGAGAGAGATCAGTGTGTGAGGAACCCTGTGTCCTACAGGAGAGAGATCAGTGTGTGAGAAACCCTGTGTCCTGAGAGAGATTAGTGTGTGAGGAACCCTGTGTCCTACAGGAGAGAGATCAGTGTGTGAGAAACCCTGTGTCCTGAGAGAGATTAGTGTGTGAGGAACCCTGTGTCCTGAGAGAGAGATCAGTGTGTGAGAAACCCTGTGTCCTGAGAGAGATTAGTGTGTGAGGAACCCTGTGTCCTACAGGAGAGAGAGATCAGTGTGTGAGGAACCCTGTGTCCTACAGGAGAGAGATCAGTGTGTGAGGAACCCTGTGTACTGAGAGAGATTAGTGTGTGAGGAACCCTGTGTCCTACAGGAGAGAGATCAGTGTGTGAGGAACCCTGTGTCCTGAGAGAGATCAGTGTGTGAGGAACCCTGTGTCCTGAGAGAGATCAGTGTGTGAGGAACCCTGTGTCCTGCAGGAGAGAGATCAGTGTGTGAGGAACCCTGTGTCCTGAGAGAGATCAGTGTGTGAGGAACCCTGTGTCCTACAGGAGAGAGATCAGTGTGTGAGGAACCCTGTGTCCTGAGAGAGATTAGTGTGTGAGGAACCCTGTGTCCTACAGGAGAGAGAGATCAGTGTGTGAGGAACCCTGTGTCCTACAGGAGAGAGATCAGTGTGTGAGGAACCCTGTGTACTGAGAGAGATTAGTGTGTGAGGAACCCTGTGTCCTACAGGAGAGAGATCAGTGTGTGAGGAACCCTGTGTCCTGAGAGAGATCAGTGTGTGAGGAACCCTGTGTCCTGAGAGAGATCAGTGTGTGAGGAACCCTGTGTCCTGAGAGAGAGATCAGTGTGTGAGGAACCCTGTGTCCTGCAGGAGAGAGATCAGTGTGTGAGGAAGAGTTAAGATATGAGAACACACACATTATGAGGGTCGTTTCAGAGGTCAGTGCCCAGTTGCATAAAGCCCCTTAACTGACATTGTTCTAAGTATAACACAAGGTTTGCTAACCGTCACCTTAAGCGTTGCACGGAGCGAGCAGGGTCAGTCCACGTCTTCTAACGCGATCGGCCGCTTTATATGATAAACACATTCAAATTTAGCAGTTTTTCCACATATAAACACAATCGACATCTTTTGGTTAACGGAAGCAAACGACTCAAGAACACACTGGTGTTCACGCTTGCGCGCACGTTTGAGCTTTCGAAACAGCCTGAATCATGCGGATTACTTTTATGTCTTTCAATAAATGGACAGAAATGATGAGCGAATATTAAAAATGTCTTTGTTTGTGTCTAAAGATGAATAAAAGACTCATGGGTTTAAACTGACACGATTGTGAGTATGATGACAGGATTTTCAATATTTGAGTAAAATATCAATTTGAGTTTCGTCTCGTCTGGTCCTTCTCTTTCATATTTTATTTCCTTTTTTGTTTTCCTTATCCATGTTATGCTGTTTTCTGTGAAACGTACCGCAAATTGTGTAGTGTAAATCTGATATTTAATGTTAAAAAATGAGATTGTTATGTATAAAAATACAGTCCAAAAGCATTATTCACAGAATTAAGGTGAGGAGCATCAGATCCAATCAGATCCAGAAAGAAATACAACACCTGTGCTAACTGAAAGAAAACGAGTAGAATACAATAATATAATAATATGGCATAATGATGATAATAGGAGATTTACCAGCCATTTTTTACCTGAAACAGCAAATTAGGTAAATGATATTCAGCTCGACACAGGGTTAATCAGCGTTGTCCAGCAGACACGATTACACGATCGAGCTCTGGATTACACGATCGAGCTCTAAAGCTCTGGATTACATTTTACATTTTACATTTACATTTATTCATTTAGCTGACGCTTTTATCCAAAGCGACTTACAATTGCTATATATGTCAGAGGTCGCACGCCTCTGGAGCAACTAGGGGTTAAGTGTCTTGCTCAGGGACACATTGGTGTCTCACAGTGGATTCGAACCCGGGTCTCTCACACCAAAGGCATGTGTCTTATCCACTGCGCCATCACCACCTTCATGTGTAAACAGGTGTAAAATATTAATATCTCTTGCTTGCTTGCTCCTTGCTAAACGTCCTGACCTGTGGCAACTATTTACCAGAAAGAGCAGTAACCATAAACTAGACGTGTGGTTTAAGAACAGCATGCTGGGATGTTGTAGCTGTTGCTCAGGAGCTGTCAGGGCATTCTGGGTATCTGTGAGTAGTTGCGTACAGGTCTAATGTGAAAGAGCTGAACTCAAGAGAGCCAGAAACTCACCTTGTCAAACTTGACCCTGAACTCGCGGCCGCACTCGAGCGGCGTGGTGAAGGAGTCCAGGTCCTGCCCCCAGAAGGCGAAGAACTTCTCGATGCGCAGACTGCGTAGAGCGTAGTAGCCCGCGTTACGGATCCCGTACTTCTGCCCCACTGACATCACCTCGTTATACACATGCAGTGCATACTGGGAACAGGAGAGCAAGATCTCAAGGCTTTGGACAGGACGTTGGGTCACAGAGATTCGTGCCCTTCACACAGATGTGGGCCACGTTTAAAAGAAGCTGAATGTTTAGAAACTCGTCTCGATACCCATGTGTGAACATCCCATGTGAACGGCTCCTTATAATACAGTCAGTTGCTGCGTTTACATGGACACCTTTTGCTTCAATCTGAATTAATTCATTCCGACTGATGAACCGAACGCAGTGTTTACAGAACGCTAAAAAAGGGATCGGGTTGATGAGCGTGTTTATGTCAAGCTTCTGATCGGGTTTAATCTTTTGACATGCGCACACTGCACGAATACAGAGTTTCCCGCTGTAGTTGCACACTAACCATCCTCCTTTTCTTTGTTTTAAAAAGCAGACTTAATATTTCTCTATTCCGGGTCCTAACGAGCACGGAACCGTTGAGCCGTGCGGCTGTATTCATCATCAGTGCCCAAACCTGTGTGTTCTGTGGACGAGAGTCTGAGGCGAGGGCCGTCCTCTCCACTGCACACACGAGGAGCGCTAAGAGAACCTCAGAATGACGGACACTCATTTATGACACTTTATCCAACAGGAAAAACAGCTCGTTCCCCGCGTCATTACGCTATTTCTACGGCATCGCACATGCGCAGTCCTTTCAGTCTCGGTTCTCAATCCGATCGAGTGTTTCCATGTCCTCTCGATCGGATTACAAAAGGAATAAACCCCCGCTTAAAGGAGTAGTTCACTTTAAAAAAAAACGTTTGCTGATAATTTACTCACCCCCATGTCATCCAAGATGTTTATAGGCACAAATGCGCGCCTTGCGAACTCTGCTGTTCGAACACGTTCATCAAAATGAACGAATCTTTTTTCGAGTCATTGACTCGTTCATCTTTTTTCGAGTCATTGACTCGTTCATCTTTTTTCGAGTCATTGACTCGAAAAAAGATTTGTTCATTTTGATGAACGAGTTCGAACAGGAGAGTTCGCAAGGCGAGCATTTGTGCCTATAAAACTTTAACTTTTTTTTTTATTTTTGAAATGACCGATCGTTTCTCTAGATAAGACTCTTATTCATCGTCTGGTATCGTTTAAAGCCCTTTGAAGCTGCACTGAAACGGTCATTTAGACCTTGAACCGTTTGGTGCCCAGCAAAGTGCATTATTTGGAGAAAAATCCTGGAATGTTTTCATCAAAAACATTAATTTCTTTTCGACTGAAGAAAGAAAGACATCTTGGATGACATGGGGGTGAGTAAATTATCAGCAACAGTTTTTTTAAAAGTGAACTAATCCTTTAATATCCGAATGAAATTTGAATCAGATCTGGCCGATTCATTCCGATGTTACTTTTTTATCCCGATTGTGCTGCTGGTCCGACTACAGTGGGATTATTAGGGTCCATGAAAACACAGCTAATGTTTGTACCATGAATACGGTTTTAATGATCAGCAGTTTATCAGTAATGTTGATTTCAGTGGGGTCTGCAGGGTCCGTGTGTTTACCTCTATGGGAATGTACAGCATGAAGCCGGGCTCTCCGGTGTGTGTCATGCTCATGACCCTGATGCCGTTGGCGTATCCCACACTCATCTCCTGCAAGACACAGTCAGGTGTGAGGAAACTGAGTCTGCCTTCAGAGACGCATCAAACACTCGCATTTCCAGAACTCCTACAAACGCTTCAGGATAGAGCGGGAGGATCCCAGGATGCACTGCGCTCCGGTCACGCCGTAACACTTGACTTTACAGTGTCCTTGTTACACGTTACCTGTCCTGTACTTGCTTCAGTAAATTATGCATAATTGTATGCAACTAACCCTAAAGTAAGTGCATTAATATTAATATTACTGTTATTGTTCATAATAATATTAATATTATTGTTCATTAATATTACTCAGTACTTCAGTGTTTTTTAATTACACTGTAACAAGGACACATTCAAATAAAGCGTAACCAATTTTTTTGCTGGATAAAATAAGTATTGGGGTTAAACTTACTCGTATATCTAACGATACAAATATAAAAAAATGTGAATGAAAGAGGTTCAAATGTTGACATATCTTACTAAGGTGTGATTTATAGACCAATGTGATCATATTTAGAAAGGCTGTGAACCCGGTTTTGTTTTCAGACAGATAAAAAAAAGTACAAGCGTTACTGCGCTCGTCAACGGCAGCTGTTGCTAGGCAACAAGAACAGTTCTCGTAGGCAGGACCGTCCCATTTAACATCGCCCCCCCCGTCCTCGAAGGATCTGATCTGGGACCAGTGTTCGTGATCATCAGCCCATTACAGCTGTGAGGAGTACGACCGTCTGAGGGATTAATGATTAACGGCGGCTCCGCTCTCCAGCGCTAGAGTTCGGCCGGCGACTACAGGCCGCGCGTCACTGACAGAAAACACATCGTCTGAAACACAGTTGCATTGAATCAATGAAACCATTTGTTTTAAAATAAATACCGTTGCAATAGTTAGGCATGCCGATCGCTAGACATCTCTGAAGAGTCCGATGTGTTCGGCCTCTCTGAGCATAAGCTCTTCTCCGAACGAGATTTATTTGTTTTAACAACGCATTCATCCTCAGACAGTTTTTTTGTTTTGTTTTACAATATATTGAGTTGGAAATTGCTCATTAGTTATGACTGCTATTAGGCATGACTGTCAGAGGGATCTGTAAGCAGAAGGGCTTGACTCACCTTACAGAAGAGCGAGGGGAAGTGCTCCGGGGTCATGGACACGTACGACAGCTCCGACAACACGTCCATGGCTCGCGGGCCAATCAGATTCAGAGCTACAGGTCACATGACACCGATTACTGCATCACACACACAAGCCCAGGCCATAAAGGCTCATTTCTTCACTTATAAGGCTAGTCTATTGAAATGAGTGACTTAGTCACATCACAACAGACTCAGATTTTCAACACTGTGCTGAGAAATCACTTCTACTGAAATGGCTTTCATGATTCTTTAAAATAATAAAAAGGAAAACTAGCTTAGCTTTGATGGAAGGTTTTCCTGATTTAAAACACACTGTAAGTTGAGTTGGTAAAGATGTATTGATTCTCACCGGTGTACTTCCAGCTGACGTCCTCCAGGTGGAGCTGCGGGTCGTTGGGCATGTGCTTCTTAATCCAAGACCAGCAGTGAACTTGCTGATCCGTGGGCGAAATGATGAAGAAACTAGAGGCAGAACCGGATGATGTCAATAATTAAGTGCTTTGAGTACCCAGAAAAGCGCTATATAAATGTAACGAATTATTATTATTATTACGAATTAATAATAATGAACCGATCTGGATCTAACTGAGCATTAGTCGAGTCTGCTCTGGTGACCTTCGCATACGCAGCTGGATCTGCTGTCCTGGTTACTGGTTAATGCTTTAATACATGAACCTGCATTTCAAAAGCCCTGCTTTAAGGAAGTGTCCGTTTGCGAACCTGTTTTTGCTGAGGCGCACCACGCTGCAGTCGTTCTCGTAGCCGCCTCTCTCGTTCAGCATCCCCGTGTGCACGATGTGTCCGACCGGCACGTCCAGGTCATTCGCACACAGGCGCTGGAGCAGAACTAGGGCCTGGTCGCCCGCAGACTGAAACACACACACACACACACACACACAGGACATCTGAAGACTGACGAAGGTGGTATATGGAAGCCACCCAATAAGAAAATAAAAAAGGTCATTGCAACTTTTTAACTCACAATTCAGATTTTTTCCTCTCAGAATTGTGAGATAAAAAGTCTAACTTTTACCTTGCTTATTTTTACTTTTTTCTTCCATACTGAAACGACGGTGAAGGGATGAACGGACTCACCGTGAGCTCAAACTTGGTGAAGGAGGACATGTCGATGACACACACCGCCTCCTTGCAGCACTTCACCTCCGCTCCCACGATATCAAACCAGTCGGGCTTGTAGAAGGTCTTACTCTGATCCAGCGCCAGTAAATCTGTGAGGATTCGAGACCAACAGCTCTGAGACAGGGACTAGAGACACTGAGCTATCACAGCTGGACATGTGCTCTCATATCTCATCGCTAAGCTGCATCCATGCTAATCTGTTCAAAATTGATAAAGTACACAGCTGGTTAAAAGTTTGGACAATAAGTAAAACACTGTCACATTGAAGAGGCTCAAATGTAGTGAGTAGTAAACATTTTTCTGGTCAATCCATAACACCCATTTTCCATCTAAAACGCGCAAAATAGTAATCTTAAAGGGATAGTTCACCCAAAAATGAAAATTAGCCCATGATTTACTCACCCTAAGCCATCCTAGGTGTATATGACACTCTTCTGTCAGACGAATACAATCAGAGTTATATTAAAAAATGTCCTGGCTCTTCCCAGCTTTATAATGGCAGTGAACGGCTGTTTCTGTCCATAAAAGTGCATCTATCCATCATAAAAGTGCATCTTTAAGTATGTGTGTCCAAATATTTGACTGGGTTTGTAGAATCAAACCCATCATTCTGAACCGATAATGACAGAAAATAAGCTAAACTGGGAGCACGTCGTGATCATCGCCGGTTCTCACCCTTCCCGGCGGGAACGAAGTACTTGGCTCTCTCGAAGCCGTGCTTCTCCATCCAGCGCGCGCCCTGTGTGTCGAGCCGGTCGTACAGCGGACTCGTGCGCAGCTGCCGGCCCGTCTGGAAGTCCCAGCGGGGAACCTTCAGTCCGTAGAGGAGCGCTGGTGGACACACACACACACACCAGGAATAAACACACAACTAAATCTGTCAGTAAGAGCGGCTGACGCTCATGTCAGTAAGAGCGGCTGAAGCTCATGTCAGTAAGAGCGGCTGACCCTCATGTCAGTAAGAGCGGCTGACCCTCATGTCAGTAAGAGCGGCTGAAGCTCATGTCAGTAAGAGCGGCTGATCCTCATGTCAGTAAGAGCGGCTGACGCTCATGTCAGTAAGAGCGGCTGACGCTCATGTCAGTAAGAGCGGCTGAAGCTCATGTCAGTAAGAGCGGCTGACCCTCATGTCAGTAAGAGCGGCTGATCCTCATGTCAGTAAGAGCGGCTGACCCTCATGTCAGTAAGAGCGGCTGACGCTCATGTCAGTAAGAGCGGCTGACGCTCATGTCAGTAAGAGCGGCTGAAGCTCATGTCAGTAAGAGCGGCTGACGCTCATGTCAGTAAGAGCGGCTGAAGCTCATGTCAGTAAGAGCGGCTGACGCTCATGTCAGTAAGAGCGGCTGACCCTCATGTCAGTAAGAGCGGCTGACCCTCATGTCAGTAAGAGCGGCTGACGCTCATGTCAGTAAGAGCGGCTGACCCTCATGTCAGTAAGAGCGGCTGACCCTCATGTCAGTAAGAGCGGCTGACCCTCATGTCAGTAAGAGCGGCTGACCCTCATGTCAGTAAGAGCGGCTGATCCTCATGTCAGTAAGAGCGGCTGACCCTCATGTCAGTAAGAGCGGCTGACGCTCATGTCAGTAAGAGCGGCTGACCCTCATGTCAGTAAGAGCGGCTGACGCTCATGTCAGTAAGAGCGGCTGATGCTCATGTCAGTAAGAGCGGCTGATGCTCATGTCAGTAAGAGCGGCTGAAGCTCATAAGAGCGGCTGACGCTCATGTCAGTAAGAGCGGCTGACGCTCATGTCAGTAAGAGCGGCTGACCCTCATGTCAGTAAGAGCGGCTGACGCTCATGTCAGTAAGAGCGGCTGACCCTCATGTCAGTAAGAGCGGCTGACGCTCATGTCAGTAAGAGCGGCTGATGCTCATGTCAGTAAGAGCGGCTGACGCTCATGTCAGTAAGAGCGGCTGAAGCTCATAAGAGCGGCTGACGCTCATGTCAGTAAGAGCGGATGAACCTCATGTCAGTAAGACCGGCTGACGCTCATGTCAGTAAGAGCGGATGAAGCTCATGTCAGTAAGACCGGCTGACGCTCATGTCAGTAAGAGCGGCTGATGCTCATGTCAGTAAGAGCGGCTGATACTCATGTCAGTAAGAGCGGCTGATGCTCATGTCAGTAAGAGCGGCTGACGCTCATGTCAGTAAGAGCGGCTGATGCTCATGTCAGTAAGAGCGGCTGATACTCATGTCAGTAAGAGCGGCTGATGCTCATGTCAGTAAGACCGGCTGACGCTCATGTCAGTAAGAGCGGCTGATGCTCATGTCAGTAAGAGCGGCTGATACTCATGTTAGTAAGAGCGGCTGATGCTCATGTCAGTAAGAGCGGCTGAAGCTCATGTCAGTAAGAGCGGCTGATGCTCATGTCAGTAAGAGCGGCTGACGCTCATGTTAGTAAGAGCGGCTGATGCTCATGTCAGTAAGAGCGGCTGACGCTCATGTCAGTAAGAGCGGCTGACGCTCATGTCAGTAAGAGCGGCTGAAGCTCATGTCAGTAAGAGCGGCTGACGCTCATGTCAGTAAGAGCGGCTGATGCTCATGTCAGTAAGAGCGGCTGACGCTCATGTCAGTAAGAGCGGCTGAAGCTCATGTCAGTAAGAGCGGCTGACGCTCATGTCAGTAAGAGCGGCTGATGCTCATGTCAGTAAGAGCGGCTGACGCTCATGTTAGTAAGAGCGGCTGATGCTCATGTCAGTAAGAGCGGCTGAAGCTCATAAGAGCGGCTGACGCTCATGTCAGTAAGAGCGGCTGATGCTCATGTCAGTAAGAGCGGCTGACGCTCATGTCAGTAAGAGCGGCTGATGCTCATGTCAGTAAGAGCGGCTGATGCTCATGTCAGTAAGAGCGGCTGACGCTCATGTTAGTAAGAGCGGCTGATGCTCATGTCAGTAAGAGCGGCTGAAGCTCATAAGAGCGGCTGACGCTCATGTCAGTAAGAGCGGCTGATGCTCATGTCAGTAAGAGCGGCTGACGCTCATGTCAGTAAGAGCGGCTGATGCTCATGTCAGTAAGAGCGGCTGAAGCTCATAAGAGCGGATGAAGCTCATGTCAGTAAGAGCGGCTGACGCTCATGTCAGTAAGAGCGGCTGACGCTCATGTCAGTAAGAGCGGCTGACGCTCATGTCAGTAAGAGCGGCTGATGCTCATGTCAGTAAGAGCGGCTGATGCTCATGTCAGTAAGAGCGGCTGAAGCTCATAAGAGCGGCTGACGCTCATGTCAGTAAGAGCGGATGAAGCTCATGTCAGTAAGACCGGCTGACGCTCATGTCAGTAAGAGCGGCTGATGCTCATGTCAGTAAGAGCGGCTGATACTCATGTCAGTAAGAGCGGCTGACGCTCATGTCAGTAAGAGCGGCTGAAGCTCATGTCAGTAAGAGCGGCTGACGCTCATGTCAGTAAGAGCGGCTGATGCTCATGTCAGTAAGAGCGGCTGACGCTCATGTCAGTAAGAGCGGCTGATGCTCATGTCAGTAAGAGCGGCTGAAGCTCATAAGAGCGGCTGACGCTCATGTCAGTAAGAGCGGCTGAAGCTCATGTCAGTAAGAGCGGCTGACGCTCATGTCAGTAAGAGCGGCTGACGCTCATGTCAGTAAGAGCGGCTGACGCTCATGTCAGTAAGAGCGGCTGACGCTCATGTCAGTAAGAGCGGCTGACGCTCATGTCAGTAAGGGCGGCTAATGGTCATATCAGTAAGAGCGGCTGATCCTCATGTCAGTAAGAGCGGCTGACGCTCATGTCAGTAAGAGCGGCTGACGCTCATGTCAGTAAGAGCGGCTGACGCTCATGTCAGTAAGAGCGGCTGATCCTCATGTCAGTAAGAGCGGCTGACGCTAATGTCAGTAAGAGCGGCTGACCCTCATGTCAGTAAAAGCGGCTGAAGCTCATGTCAGTAAGAGCGGCTGATGCTCATGTCAGTAAGAGCGGCTGATGCTCATGTCAGTAAGAGCGGCTGATGCTCATGTCAGTAAGAGCGGCTGAAGCTCATGTCAGTAAGAGCGGCTGACGGTCATGTCAGTAAGAGCGGCTGATGCTCATGTCAGTAAGAGCGGCTGATGCTCATGTCAGTAAGAGCGGCTGATGCTCATGTCAGTAAGAGCGGCTGATGCTCATGTCAGTAAGAGCGGCTGATGCTCATGTCAGTAAGAGCGGCTGATGCTCATGTCAGTAAGAGCGGCTGATGCTCATGTCAGTAAGAGCGGCTGATGCTCATGTCAGTAAGAGCGGCTGAAGCTCATAAGAGCGGCTGACGCTCATGTCAGTAAGAGCGGCTGACGCTCATGTCAGTAAGAGCGGCTGACGCTCATGTCAGCAAGAGCGGCTGACGCTCATGTCAGTAAGAGCGGCTGATCCTCATGTCAGTAAGAGCGGCTGACGCTCATGTCAGTAAGAGCGGCTGAAGCTCATGTCAGTAAGAGCGGCTGACGCTCATGTCAGTAAGAGCGGATGAAGCTCATGTCAGTAAGAGCGGCTGACGCTCGTGTCAGTAAGAGCGGCTGAAGCTCTTGTCAGTAAGAGCGGCTGACGCTCATGTCAGTAAGAGCGGATGAAGCTCATGTCAGTAAGAGCGGCTGACGCTCGTGTCAGTAAGAGCGGCTGAAGCTCATGTCAGTAAGAGCGGCTGACGCTCATGTCAGTAAGAGCGGCTGAAGCTCATGTCAGTAAGAGCGGCTGAAGCTCATGTCAGTAAGAGCGGCGGACGCTCATGTCAGTAAGAGCGGCTGACGCTCATGTCAGTAAGAGCGGCTGACGCTCATGTCAGTAAGAGCGGCTGACGCTCATGTCAGTAAGAGCGGCTGAAGCTCATGTCAGTAAGAGCGGCTGACGCTCATGTCAGTAAGAGCGGCTGATGCTCATGTCAGTAAGAGCGGCTGAAGCTCATGTCAGTAAGAGCGGCTGACGCTCATGTCAGTAAGAGCGGCTGACGCTCATGTCAGTAAGAGCGGCTGACGCTTATGTCAGTAAGAGCGGCTGACGCTCATGTCAGTAAGAGCGGCTGACGCTCATGTCAGTAAGAGCGGCTGACGCTCATGTCAGTAAGAGCGGCTGACCCTCATGTCAGTAAGAGCGGCTGACGCTCATGTCAGTAAGAGCGGCTGACGCTTATGTCAGTAAGAGCGGCTGACCCTCATGTCAGTAAGAGCGGCTGAAGCTCATGTCAGTTAGAGCGGCTGACGCTCATGTCAGTAAGAGCGGCTGACCCTCATGTCAGTAAGAGCGGCTGAAGCTCATGTCAGTAAGAGCGGCTGACGCTCATGTCAGTAAGAGCGGCTGACGCTCATGTCAGTAAGAGCGGCTGACGCTTATGTCAGTAAGAGCGGCTGACCCTCATGTCAGTAAGAGCGGCTGAAGCTCATGTCAGTTAGAGCGGCTGACGCTCATGTCAGTAAGAGCGGCTGACGGTCATGTCAGTAAGAGCGGCTGAAGCTCATGTCAGTTAGAGCGGCTGACGCTCATGTCAGTAAGAGCGGCTGACGGTCATGTCAGTAAGAGCGGCTGAAGCTCATGTCAGTTAGAGCGGCTGACGCTCATGTCAGTAAGAGCGGCTGACGGTCATGTCAGTAAGAGCGGCTGAAGCTCATGTCAGTAAGAGCGGCTGACGCTCATGTCAGTAAGAGCGGCTGACGCTCATGTCAGTAAGAGCGGCTGATGCTCATGTCAGTAAGAGCGGCTGACGGTCATGTCAGTAAGAGCGGCTGACACTCACGCATGACCTCCATCACTCGATGGCGCAGGAACGTGCGGCTGCTCTGCAGGTTCCCGAAGCGCTTGATGTCCAGCGGCCACACGTTAGCACTGGGGTATCCGTACGTCATCCACTCCGCCAGATATCTGCGGGAAGAAGAAGCTGTTGTGAACTGATCAAACCCAAAGCTGAAGAAACGTCACGCAGAGCTGTTGACTTACTTCCCCGCGCCGCCAGCGAACGAGAGCCCGGACGAGTTCATGCCCGCCAACACGAAGTATCCATAGATCCCCGGCGTCTCTCCCATCAGGCAGCGCATGTCCGGAGTGAAGGATTCTGGGCAGTTGACCAGCTGTTGGATCTCACAGGCCTCGAGCCCAGGCATCCGGCGCAGCAGAGCGCTCAACATGGGCTCTACGGGGAACCACACCACAACACTCACAACTCACATATGACCATACACACGTGTGTTTCTGTGGGCTCTACGGGGAACCACACCACACACATATGACCATATACACACGTGTGTTTCTGTGAGCTCTACGGGGAACCACACCACAACACTCACAACTCACATATGACCATACACACACGTGTGTTTCTGTGGGCTCTACGGGGAACCACACCACAACACTCAACTCACATATGACCATACGTGTGTTTGTGTGCTGATGTTAATTAGCGATTCAGAGAAGTATCTGCACGAAAACAAACTCATTCAAATTTCGAATAACTTAAGCACATCATAATCAGTGAAGCTGAAACTGGTGATGATAGCAGAAGCGGATGTAAGTCCTGTAGAGGGCAGGATTATACCAACTGTGAATGCATGCATGCCATATACGAATGATTGAAACCATTAACATACACACGTTTAACTATCCAATCTGAAGTAACAAAGCCTTTATAAATCCAGGGTAGAGTTTCGGAAAGGTCCATTTTAAGTGCAAATTACAATGACTAATCTACAAACATGTATGTATAAAGTAAAGCACGCTAAATTAGTTTTTTTGCTTTTAATGAATAGGCTGCGACCTTCGCTCGCAGTCTCGTATCCTGCGTCAGACTAGCGGTAGTAAAGCCAAGCTGGTGTGTGGGTCATTATGATAGAACAAACATTCCCAAGCGTGTGAAAGACGAGACGCAGGAGCGACGATCACAGCTCTGCTATAGTTAGACCTCAGCGGTTGAGCAACGGCTGTTACACCACTCACAACACCAGTTTACATCAACAAGGGTTAACAAGAACAGCAAGAACTGCAAGTTATAAGACAACATGAGTTCATTTTTGAGTGAGGGCAAGGAAAACATGTTGAAGAGTTCAAGGAGAAGACAAGGACGGACGGAGACAGCGGAGGGGTAATAATAAAGAATAAAGGTCAGCGAACGAGCTGGAAATATCTTCACATACTGAGCAAGCCTGAGACACCGGCGTTTCACACCCACACACACACACACACACACACCTCACCGTATGATGGCACGCACACACACCTTCCCAAAGCTAGGCGTGTGAAACTCACCCTCACTACTAATGTTCATAATCCACTAGCCATGAGTTTTGTTGACAGATATGTATGTATTGCACATTATTAAAAACAGTGACGCATGTTATTTTGAATATTAATTAGCAAAGCAGATCTTAATTTTTTTAGCCATTTCCTTTCCCCTGTTTAACATGAGCGTTTTCTGAAATAATGTGCTACAGCAATGAATATGTCTTGACTTCATCATTGCACACATACTATCTCTGTTTTTTCCTCTTTATTCAATATATTCATACGCCTACGGGTTAGTTATCACTGCTGTTATCACCCAGCCTGACCCTGAGCGTAGTGATGAGCCTTTGAGTGACAGATCCCGGACGACAGGCATCATTCAGGAACATCTGAACACCGCGAAACATCATACATGACGGCGAGTGTATGAGTGTATGCATGTACGAGTGTATGCGTGACATCATCTACTGTACCCGAAGTGGTCCCAGTCCTCCTGCATGACGGCGAGTGTAGGAGTGTACGAGTGTAGGAGTGTACGAGTGTAGGAGTGTACGAGTGTATGAGTGTATGAGTGTACGAGTGTACGAAGGTAGGAGTGTACGAGTGTAGGAGTGTAGGACTGTAGGACTGTAGGAGTGTATGAGTGTAGGAGTGTAGGAGTGTAGGAGAGTACGAGTGTAGGAGTGTAGGAGTGTAGGAGTGTAGGAGTATACGAGTGTAGGAGTGTAGGAGTGTACGAGAGTACGAGTGTAGGAGTGTAGGAGTGTAGGAGTATACGAGTGTAGGAGTGTAGGAGTGTATGAGTGTATGAGTGTACGAGTGTATGCGTGACATCATCTACTGTACCAAAGTGGTCCCAGTCCTCCTGCATGACGGCGAGTGTACGAGTGTAGGAGTGTAGGAGTGTAGGAGTGTACGAGTGTAGGAGTGTACGAGTGTAGGAGTGTAGGAGTGTAGGAGTGTACGAGTGTAGGAGTGTAGGAGTGTAGGAGTGTAGGAGTGTACGAGTGTAGGAGTGTACGAGTGTAGGAGTGTACGAGTGTAGGAGTGTAGGAGTGTACGAGTGTAGGAGTGTAGGAGTGTACGAGTGTAGGAGTGTAGGAGTGTACGAGTGTAGGAGTGTAGGAGTGTAGGAGTGTACGAGTGTAGGAGTGTAGGAGTGTACGAGTGTACGAGTGTAGGAGTGTACGAGTGTAGGAGTGTACGAGTGTAGGAGTGTACGAGTGTAGGAGTGTACGAGTGTACGAGTGTAGGAGTGTACGAGTGTAGGAGTGTAGGAGTGTACGAGTGTACGAGTGTAGGAGTGTAGGAGTGTACGAGTGTAGGAGTGGTCAGCGAACGTCCTGGAAATATCTTCACATACTGAGCAAGCCTGAGACACCGGCGTTTCACACCCACACACACACACCTCACCGTATGATGGCACGCACACACACCTTCCCAAAGCTAGGCGTGTGAAACTCACCCTCACTACTAATGTTCATAATCCACTAGCCATGAGTTTTGTTGACAGATATGTATGTATTGCACATTATTAAAAACAGTGACGCATGTTATTTTGAATATTAATTAGCAAAGCAGATCTTAATTTTTTTAGCCATTTCCTTTCCCCTGTTTAACATGAGCGTTTTCTGAAATAATGTGCTACAGCAATGAATATGTCTTGACTTCATCATTGCACACATACTATCTCTGTTTTTTCCTCTTTATTCAATATATTCATGCGCCTACGGGTTAGTTATCACTGCTGTTATCACCCAGCCTGACCCTGAGCGTAGTGATGAGCCTTTGAGTGACAGATCCCGGACGACAGGCATCATTCAGGAACATCTGAACACCGCGAAACATCATACATGACGGCGAGTGTATGAGTGTATGCATGTACGAGTGTATGCGTGACATCATCTACTGTACCCGAAGTGGTCCCAGTCCTCCTGCATGACGGCGAGTGTAGGAGTGTACGAGTGTAGGAGTGTACGAGTGTAGGAGTGTACGAGTGTATGAGTGTATGAGTGTACGAGTGTACGAAGGTAGGAGTGTACGAGTGTAGGAGTGTAGGACTGTAGGAGTGTATGAGTGTAGGAGTGTAGGAGTGTACGAGAGTACGAGTGTAGGAGTGTAGGAGTATACGAGTGTAGGAGTGTAGGAGTGTATGAGTGTACGAGTGTATGCGTGACATCATCTACTGTACCAAAGTGGTCCCAGTCCTCCTGCATGACGGCGAGTGTACGAGTGTAGGAGTGTACGAGTGTAGGAGTGTAGGAGTGTACGAGTGTAGGAGTGTAGGAGTGTAGGAGTGTACGAGTGTACGAGTGTAGGAGTGTAGGAGTGTAGGAGTGTACGAGTGTACGAGTGTACGAGTGTAGGAGTGTAGGAGTGTAGGAGTGTACGAGTGTACGAGTGTAGGAGTGTAGGAGTGTAGGAGTGTACGAGTGTACGAGTGTAGGAGTGTACGAGTGTAGGAGTGTAGGAGTGTAGGAGTGTACGAGTGTACGAGTGTACGAGTGTAGGAGTGTAGGAGTGTAGGAGTGTACGAGTGTACGAGTGTAGGAGTGTACGAGTGTAGGAGTGTAGGAGTGTACGAGTGTACGAGTGTAGGAGTGTACGAGTGTAGGAGTGTAGGAGTGTAGGAGTGTACGAGTGTAGGAGTGTAGGAGTGTACGAGTGTAGGAGTGTAGGAGTGTAGGAGTGTAGGAGTGTACGAGTGTAGGAGTGTACGAGTGTAGGAGTGTACGAGTGTACGAGTGTAGGAGTGTAGGAGTGTGGGAGTGTAGGAGTGTACGAGTGTAGGAGTGTAGGAGTGTACGAGTGTAGGAGTGTACGAGTGTACGAGTGTAGGAGTGTAGGAGTGTAGGAGTGTAGGAGTGTACGAGTGTAGGAGTGTACGAGTGTACGAGTGTAGGAGTGTAGGAGTGTAGGAGTGTACGAGTGTAGGAGTGTAGAAGTGTACGAGTGTACGAGTGTAGGAGTGTACGACTGTAGGAGTGTACGAGTGTAGGAGTGTACGAGTGTAGGAGTGTAGGAGTGTAGGAGTGTACGAGTGTAGGAGTGTAGGAGTGTACGAGTGTAGGAGTGTAGGAGTGTACGAGTATAGGAGTGTAGGAGTGTAGGATTGTAGGAGTGTACGAGTGTACGAGTGTAGGAGTGTACGAGTGTAGGAGTGTACGAGTGTACGAGTGTAGGAGTGTACGAGTGTACGAGTGTAGGAGTGTACGAGTGTAGGAGTGTACGAGTGTAGGAGTGTAGGAGTGTAGGAGTGTACGAGTGTACGAGTGTAGGAGTGTAGGAGTGTACGAGTGTAGGAGTGTACGAGTGTACGAGTGTAGGAGTGTAGGAGTGTAGGAGTGTACGAGTGTAGGAGTGTACGAGTGTAGGAGTGTAGGAGTGTAGGAGTGTACGAGTGTAGGAGTGTAGGAGTGTACGAGTGTATGCGTGACATCATCTAATGTACCAAAGTGGTCCCAGTCCTCCTGCATGACGGCGAGTGTACGAGTGTAGGAGTGTAGGAGTGTAGGAGTGTAGGAGTGTACGAGTGTATGCGTGACATCATCTACTGTACCAAAGTGGTCCCAGTCCTCCTGCATGACGGCGAGTGTACGAGTATAGGAGTGTAGGAGTGTACGAGTGTAGGAGTGTACGAGTCTACGAGTGTACGAGTGTAGGAGTGTACGAGTGTAGGAGTGTACGAGTGTAGGAGTGTACGAGTGTATGAGTGACATCATCTACTGTACCAAAGTGGTCCCAGTCCTCCTGCATGACGCGAGTGTACGAGTGTAGGAGTGTACGAGTGTAGGAGTGTACGAGTGTATGCGTGACATCATCTACTGTACCAAAGTGGTCCCAGTCCTCCTGCATGACGGCGAGTGTACGAGTGTAGGAGTGTAGGAGTGTATGAGTGTAGGAGTGTACGAGTGT